TCCATTCGTGGATCCGGTCATCCCCATGATCTCAACCAGTGGGAACTTGTACTTGTTTGTCTTGTACGTTGAGTCGATCAAAATCACAAATGGCCAAGACTTGATCATATCAACACAATCAGAATGCACAAGGAAAAGATGAGTCACCTCAGTTGTATCTTCATCAGAATCAAACCAGAACAGGTAACCACGTGATTGTGCCTGGTGTAGCAGCTGCTGTATAGGGTTCCTTCCCTCTGACCGTTCAAACCTGAGTTGTTGTCTGACGTTGTAGATGTGTTTTCGGTTTGGATGGTCTTCTGGAAATTTCTCTAACACAGATGCTAATATTTTAGCAGGCTTGACTTGAGCATCACTCATTTCTTTCACAACCAGTTTCGCAGCAGGACTTAAGCCGCTCAGCTGTCGATGACCCTCTTCATATACTATCATCTCATGGTTGTGATACCCCCATTTAGAGTAACCAATCACTTCCCAACCGTCACAACTCCGTAGTTGTCGGACCTTTACTCTGAACTCACACCCATAGCCTTTCCGCTTTGTATCAAACCGAGTGGCTGTACGAAAATCTCTTTCTTCTCTTTTGCGATAACGGTCACATCTCAAAATGCGATCCATTCTACCATCCCGTTGAGATTTATGAGTTACTACTACCAAGAAAAATCCAGCTGCAATTGCAACTTGTTTTGCCCAATCAATCGCTTGTTGAGCTTTTTCGAATGGACCATCATGTCCAAATATCCCACTGTAATCATTTCCGTCTCCACCATAATTCTGCATCAATTATATATTATAATAAATACATTTAACGCATAATACATTTAATTTCTATATTTACACAGAATTAACACAAAAAAAAACATAATTATGTATAATATTATTCATACACATACACATACAAATTTTAAACACACTCATTTATAAAAGTCACATAAACAATTAAATATTTTGGTATACATTAACACAAATCTACTCACTACATACATAAACACATTAAATAATTAAACATAATTTAAATAAAACACCGTTTTGAATTTTCAATTTGAAATAAATTAAAAACAAAAAAAAAAAACCATTTCCAATTTTTTTTTAATACAATTTCGAATTGTCAAACTTAATTTTAAAAAAAAAAACCTTTCTCAACAATCAAACTTAATTTTTAAAAAAACCCAATTCGAATTTTCAAACTAAATTTAAAAAAAATACCATTTCGAATTTTCAAACTTAATTTTACAAAAACCTATTTCGAATTTTCAAAATTAATTTTAAAAAAAGCCATTTCGAAATTTTTAAAAAACTCATTTTCGATTTTTTTTTTTAAAAAAAAAAGTAGGCACAACAACAAAATCAAAGAAGGAAAAAAAAAAAAATTACTGGTGGCGTCTGCCAGGGGCGCCACAGCCACTAGACTGGCGCCTGGCAGGGCCGCCTCAGCCAGTAGAGTGGCGCCTGGCCAGGACGCCAGTCTGGTGGTCTGGGCGTCTAGGCTGGACGCCGGTCTGGTGGTTCTGGCGTCTGGCTTGGACGTCCATGCTACGGTTAGGGCGTCCATCCTAGGCGCCGGAGCCACCCCTACGGTAAACCGTGAATTTTAACGGTGACTTACCTCGTTTTCCGTCGACGACGACGTACCTCCGGCGTCCCCCACAACTCTGGCCTGCCCTCCGGTCTCCCCCGGCGAGTTAGTACGGCTCCACATTTTTTAAATCGAGATTTGTTCAATTTTAGAAAATGGAATCCCCCGGCGAGTTAGTACGGCTCCACTTTTTTTAAATCGAGATTTGTTCAATTTTAGAAAATGGAATCCCCCGGCGAGTTAGCACGGCTCCACATTTTTTAAATCGAGATTTGTTCAATTTTAGAAAAAGGGCATAATTGCCACACCAAGTCATATTTGTGGGCTTTATATGGTAATTTGCGGGCGATGTTTAGCGATTCACTTCTTCTAAGGTAAACGATCACTCACAACAACTCACTAAGATAAGGTAATACTCTATAAACATAGAGATACCAAAATAACAAATCAAGGCAAACAAACAATCGTCATCTTTAGCATAATTGGTCAATTTCATATTAATGCCCCTTATTCCTTTTATAGTCAAATTGTATACCATTAACAAAAGATATACATAAGAAGGGAATAAAGCAATCAAGAGATATAAGTACTCTCACATGCATATATAGCCAATCACTTGTCACTTAACCATGGCGAAAATACACAAACATGCTAAAAACAATCTATTTTAGTAAAGGATAAGGGTCATAGTGGATAAGGTAATCCAATATTCGGATTCAAAGTCATACAACATGAATTCAATTGGTAAAAGACATAACTAAAGAATACATAACCCAAGACTTTGAGTCCAACACTAATTTATATCACATTGTTAAATATATTAGCAAATACACAACTCAAGACTTACTTTAAAACCTCTGTAAAGTATAGATATTTCATGCTAATACTAAAATATTCCCCACACCAATGATGACATAAACTACATATATCATATCATCACAATTTGAAAAATCAAAAAATCATAATAATTTTATTATTCTCACAATAATAAAAACATGTCATACTCAACTTTGTGGAATATTTACGTAACAAATTGAGAAGATAAGAAATTCAAGAATATTACTTACCATAAATATACATGTGATGCTCAACACCACCGCATTACTCACATGGAGAAATCGATGTTGATTTCTTCAAACAAATGCCAAAATTAAATAAACCAAATTGAATCAAATAAGAACACTTAGGTGCAAAAACATGAAATAATATATTTACAACACTTGAAACCTCTCTCTTAAGGTGGGCTCTAAGAGTAATCTCACTTTTGAATTAAGGAAAAATAATAATTCAAAAATATTACACCACAAGGTTAACACAACTTAGTAGTTAACACACTAAAAAATTGAAATGATAGCCACCAAAAGAATTTCAAAAAATAAAATAGAAACTAATAATCATGTTATATCCAATAACAAGAGTTATATAGGCCAACTAAAAGTCACAAGGAGTAACAACCATCAAAAACTTCTCCTATGGAGAAAATCATATAACTCTTCATAAACGATATTACATATTCCTCATTCAAAAACTTCACTCACTTACTAAATTAATATAAGGATATTTTTTATTTTAACACCTGACAAAAGCATGAAATTGGTTTTTAACACCCCCTAAAAAAAAGTTTTATCTTAACACCAGACAAATGTTACGAAAATGGTTTTTACCACCACTTAACTGATTCCGTTTAGGAATCCGTTAAGTGGGGTCATGAGCCACGTGTCGCTTTATTATTGGTCGAAAAAGAAAAACAAATAAAACAAAAAAAATATAAAATATAAAATATAAAATAATTTTTTATTTTTTTTATTTTTTTATTTTTTTGTAATTTTATTTTTTTAAAACAAGTAAAATGGTGACACGTGTCAATGTGGACTCCACTTAACGGAATTTTGGACGGAAACCGTTAAGTGGTGGTAAAAACCATTTTCGTAACATTTGTCTGGCGTTAAAATAAAACCTTTTTTTTTTTGGGTGTTAAAAATCAATTTCATGCTTTTGTCAGGTGTTAAAATCAAAAATATGCTTAATATAATTAACACATGTTCTTGAAACATGGAGATATGCAATGTAAGCATATAGAATTTAAGCATGAATAAAGTTTCCATAAAGCTAGACATATATATCAACATATATGCGCTAAAAAGTAATAGATTTTAATATCATATTCAACATAACACAAAATTCATGGTTATACATAAAAATACATACACCCTTAAAAAGATCAACCCGTGAATCCAACGACATAAAAGCATGTTAACATTAAAAAGAAACAACTTGCTAATAAAATTTATTCTAAAAGCAAGAGCATAACAAAGACCTTCAAAATATATAACAATACATTGCTGCTTCAAAACTCCAATAAATTGAGAATTAAATCAATTAGGAGTATCTCTAAATCCTAAGCTCAAGGCTATAGAACTAACATAAGTCTTTATTGTAATAATCACATTAGCAAATAAACGTAATTGACAAAAATCAATATCTAACACTCATTTGTCAAAAATCACAATTCATATATTTGCCAAGAAGATTATTAGAAATTAAACCACATGCTAAACATAATCAATAAAAGACTTGGTTTAAAATGGACCTCCCTTAAATTAAATCAAGTTATGTAAGTGGACATACGCATGATATGCCCAAGCATCCTCACAAAATATGCAGCTCCAAGAAATCATCGTAACTCCAAAACGAGAGCAGATATCAACGATCCAACCGTTGAAAATAAAGCCTCATTTTTCCAAAACAATCTCCTAAAATTTCAGCCAAAACCGACAACAAATGACCATTGATCGGGACCATTTTCGGGACTGCTCCCAGAAAAACGTGAATAGAAATTTTTCCAATTCCAAATAATATTTTTCTTCACACTATACAATCTTTCAATCAATACCCATCGAATAGCCATTGAAAATAAATAATTTGTTTTCAAAATTGTTGTAAAATAAGTGTTTCAAAGGCTACAAAAATATAAGAATAATATGTTCCTTTGATAAAAAAAAAACACATTATTCTTATATTTTTGTAAAAACACTTCTTTGTATAGACAAATCTTAAATTTTAAAAAAATCTATTTCGGCAAATTCACGTGGTCAATTTTATTTATACATAAAAAATGCATAACTTCGAACAATGCAAATTCTTAGCAATTTGTCTAACAAAATATAAACAAGACACCTATAACAAAATTCTTAGCTTGCTTATCTTTCACTAAAGTAAAACTGATAATTGGTCCAATTAAAGTTGACTAGATTGAACCCAGTGAGGAAGTTAGCAGAAGTTGCGGAAATTTGAAGTAGACGACTTTTGCGTAACATATTCTACGCTGTTCCTTAACAATCAAGCACACTCAACAACCACATTTAAGACTTGACTGAATGAAATACGAAGTAATGAGTATACGCCGGGGATGAGGGAAGAATGATACAACAAGAAAGTATACGTCTATTTGACGTTTTCGAATTTTGAATTTGATCACATATTTTATCTATTCTTCTCATACAAATAGTCGAGTAATCCGTAAAAGCACAAAAAAGACTCGCAACGGATTTTCAAAACATCAACTTTTTTTTTTTTCCCAAACTCAGGAACGAATAAAAAAAATCGGGATATATATGCTGATGAACAAAAGCCTGCCAATAGTCCAGGAACAGGAGAAACCAAACAGTTGAAGAATTTTTCTAACACAATCAACGCAATGAATTAATTTGACAGTAAATATTCTCCCTATTAAGTTGCCTCCGGAGCTGAAACTGGTGCAGCAGCTGGTGGCTTTAGTAATGGCTGGAGTGCTTTGACAACGATGCTCATGTTTGGCCTAAATTCACCTTCATATTGAACACAAAGAGCTGCCACAGCAGCCAACTGCAAATGTAGGAAATTCCTCCGATCATGTCAGCAATTAGCAGATTGAAGAGCCAAAAAGAAGGAAATAAGAGGAAAGGTAAGAAACAAACCTTAGCAACTCCTTTTGCAGGGTAATCCTTCAATCTGGGGTCAACACACTGCTTAACTTTATCTTCACTAAGCCTTGGAGTTGCCTGAGCAAAAACAAACATATACTTTAGCTATTAATGGAACAACAAGACACTTAGCATGCCGAGGACAAAACAAGCATTATTCTCAAATGCTCTTGTACAGGTTCAGTAAAAAAGGAATAGAGAGTTTACCCAAGTAACCAGACTTTGCTGACCACGAGGCATAGTATGATCAACGGGTTTGCGGCCAGTTAAAAGCTCCAAAAGAACCACACCAAAACTGTACACATCACTCTTTTGCGTCAACTGTCCAGTCATTGCATACCTGAGACAATTATCAACAAAGCAAAGTAAGCGGTCAATTTAAAAAGAAAAATGAAGTGAGAAGAAAATAGATTGTCTATCAATCAGTCAATTTCACAATTTACAACAGTTTCACCACCTATACAGCCTTAAGGGTGCTTTCACAATTGATAATTCAGGATATAAGCAAGTTGATGATCTGGCTACCATAAAGTATTAGTACTCAGAGAACTAAAGTATTCCATACTATACTTTTCCTGCCCCCTCCCCGAATGGTTAGACACCTGACTCAGATATAAGGGGGTAGAAAAATTACTCTGGTGCATGATATCCAAAGGTGCCCAAAACCCTGGTGGAATGAAGACGGGCAGCCATATCAGGAGCCTGATTTGAAAGATTAAAATCTGCAATCTTGGCTTTGAAATCTTCAAACAAGAGAACATTACTAGATCTAATATCTCTGTGAATAATAGCAGGTTGAATCTTCTCATGAAGGTATTCCAATCCCCTTGCAGCATCAACAGCAATTCTAACTCGCTGCATCCAGTCGAGCACTGGACCAGGTTGAGCACCTTGCACACCTTTCCTTCCTGCAACAAGATTATTCCTATATTACTTAATCCATTTCACACAATCTTTCAAATTATTTTCACACTCCAATAATGAATTATCAAACCATAAATCCAGGTAACTATCCATACCATGCAAGATATCATGCAAGGATCCCATGGTAGCAAACTCGTAAGTTAACACCCGCATGTTTCCCTCTACACAGTAGCCTTGCAACTCAACAATGTTTTCATGTTTCAACCTTGATACTCTAGAAACCTACAAGAACCAAAGAACATAACCTGCAGATTAGACCAAAAGCCTAATAGGTATTAAAAGTAAAACTCCATACTAGTAGTTTCCAGCAGTAAATCACACCTGTGTCAAAAACTCCACATTGGACTCTGGTTCTTGGGAAACATCAAGTTTTTTCACAGCCACTGCCTTCTCATTCTCCAAAGTAGCATAATACACTCTTCCATAGGAACCTTCGCCAATTAATGCTTTGGATCCAAAGTTATCAGTTTTTTCCTTTAGCTCATCCAAAGACAAGATAGGCACTTCAATTGGTGGTGGTGTTGACTTCTGCACATCTTCCTTTACAGGTGCTGTTGGCTTTTGGTTCCTTACAGCTCCTAATTTTCACAATAAAAGTAGCAAAGTAAGTTTGGATGCATCAATTCTTTACACAAGTTAGAAAAATATATATATATATTGGTTGCAAGTAATATTCCAACTCAGATCCATCAAACACTAAAAAATTCAAAATAGCACGTTTTAAGATAAGGTTTACTATCTTTAGCCAAGCAACATAATTTACAACACATTTCCCATAACTCTTCCTGCTCCCCCGCCCCAAAATGATCAGATGATAAAGACTGGTGAACAATGCACCATTGACCATGAACAGATCTGACGCTCATTCAACCAAAAAGTGTGATATTAAGTCATTGACCAGAAATTATTACTTCAAAATAGATGGCATCGAAAGTCCATGTAAAGCATGCACCTAGACTACAAGCAAATGACACTAAAGCAAAGTCTTTTAAAAAATACAAAGACAGAAGTAAGAAAGTCTTCTTGGAATCATTAAAATGAATGCAGCTAAGGAAATTTGGCCCATTCATATTTTTTAATCACTAATTCAACTTGGCTGTATTGGACATATTAGAATCAGCAAAAAAATGTTTGAATAAGTCAAGAACACCTCCAAGGTTACAACAATATATAAATATCAGTTGTACATCTGACAGCAAGAGTCCGCCAATGACCAAACAAGGCCACCTCATAAGATGTTAGCTCTGACAGTGTTCAGCAACTAGACTTTAATTCCCTTATATCAGATATTGTCCTGAGGTTCAGCCATCTTACTTTCATGTTTAAATGATTAGTTAAGTAGCTGAGGGGACCAACGACGAGTTGGCAAATTAGTCTTCTGCTTGACCCACCATGTATAACTGTCCATTTAATACCATTGAATGTTTCTATCCAAGCCTTTAAATTACAAGTTAACATCAAGGCAACTAGTTACAACCCTCTCACTTTGATAGTGCTGTTTCACACTCACAGTTCAATATTCAAATGCAACTGCATGCCATCAGAAATTATATACACTATTACACTGCATATGATTATGCATACTGATCAGGACAGACCATTATTAAAGACAAATAATAATGTTCAATGTATAAGAAGAGCCGCAGAAAATAAATTGTCATTTGCAATATTCGAAGAAAACCAATTCTTCCCTCTGGCTAATCAAGTTTTTCCAAAGGTAGTACATAGCATCAATTTAAAGTTGATTACAAATGCATGCATATCCTCAAACATGAATATAGGTTTTGAAGTAAGCCATATCTAGTTTACCCAACAAAAATGCATCATCAAAATTCACAATATCCAGTACTAATTATAAATGAGATGGAATCAATACTCTATTTCTCTAACATGATCAACAAAGCTTAAGAATTCTCAAAAGTGCATCCAAGGCCAAATCCCTTCGAATATCTAGCTTCAATTATGGCAACATTTGATACAAGGATTGCTTTTCGCAGAAATAAAAAGTGATAGCAGGCATTTGGTACACGAAGATAGCATCTTTGCCTCAAACTAAGAAATTGAGGACTGACCGCAGAAACTCAATGTTAATGTAACACTAATCCTACTATTTATAAACATTAAATAGCTTAACCAATAACACCTAAGAAGCTCGAACATCACAATCAAACTCTGTAATTTCTACATTCACACATAGCGTTACGTTATCAAGCATCAACATAATAAGCCAATCACAATTCACAAGTATTTTACATGCTAAAAATCCTCATGTTTCATACAATAGCTCATTAATTTCAATTTACACATGACCATTCCCTCCTCAACACCCCCGCTGCCCTGAGCCCCTGAAAAACCGCATATATTTATAACATTCAAAATAACATCACCAAAGATGAAATACGACATACTTTCCGCATTGTTCCGTGGGCTTTTAAGGGGTTCATCATTTGATGGGTAAGACTCTTCAACATGGCAAGTACAACAAAGCCACCGCCGCATTCTCGATGTTGGCCTTCTCAAACTTAAATCGTCTCGAGAATGTCCTTGCAATCGTACAAAGTGGCCAGGGGGCGGTGCATGTGCCTATCAACCATTACAAAAATTTCATCATTTCATGTTATTGTGAATCAAATCACATGGAACCACCAAAATGTGTCAATTAAAAACAAACTTTTACTATAAAATAAGATACAATTATATTATTCAGAACAATATTATACATAAATTCACACAAAAACATGCAAAATTCCAAAAACCCATTCATTGTTCAGTCAAATTGATTCCATATGTAGAAATTGCAATCAATTGAAAATTAAGCAATTGAATTATAAACAAATGGATAAACAACATGCAAATGAATCAATAACAAATAATCATTATATCAACTAATTGATCAAAGATTTTATGCCAATAATTAATTAATCTTATAAAAATGCAGCCCCCTGATAAAATTAAATGAAGCAAAAAAATTTGAAAAATTAAATAAATTAAATTGAAAGGGATCAACTGATCCTCACCACTAAACCACGTCGGTGAAAGTTGCCGTCCATGAATAAAATATCCAAAGTTCAAATTGAATTAGGGGAAATAATTCCAAATTTTCAAAAAAAAATTAAGAAAATTGAAAATACTTTATAAGAAATTTCACCTTTTAATTAGGTCGAAAGCAAACAATAGAACCCGCAAAATTAATCACAGGAAATGGGAAAATTCCGAAACAGAAAAAAAAACCAATCAAAGATTTTGCTTAAAAAACCTAAACAAAAGGAGAAATTTCAAATTCAATAACAATTCAACAACAAAAAAGAGTCAAATTAGAGAAGAACCCCTTTATACCCAGAAACCAAAAGGCACAAAATAATAAAGGGGTTGTTAAAAAACCAACAACAACCAAAAAATAAAAATAAAAATTAGATCGAGAAATTGCGAAATAAAAGGGAAAGTGACATCGAAAATGAGTTGTTTGATCGAACTTTTAGAGCGAAAAGGGCATTACCTTACCTGGGTTTTGGCCAAGGAGAGAGAAAATGGTAAACAATTTGAATTTTAATTTGGAAAATTAATTTTGATTTTTCTGGTTCACTGTATTTTTGGGTGAGGTGGGAGAAAGAGGAAGAAGAAACAAGAAATGAAGACAGATGTACAAATACAAATTAAAGGATTTTATTTGAAGCAAAATATAAATTATTGCTAACAAAAATATAAGATTTTTATAAAATTAAATAGAATAAAGATTGGGCGGACCAAAAAGGAAGAAATAAGAAATAGGCCGGTGGGTTGGAACCGTGTGGGAGTAGTTTGAGGAATCTTTTTTGGTGTGTTTGATTGATTAATTGAATTGTATTTTGTTTCTTTATACTTTGTACTAGCCGTTATATAGAAGGAATGTAAGAAGATTACACTCATGGTGGAGTATGGTTTAATCTTCGAAATCTACACTTTCTATGTTAAAAAGGGTATTGTGATTTGGTTTTGGGATTTTGTGGTTTTTGACTGGCCGATTTGGAAGGATTGGATTTGAGGATTGGTTGTGAATCAGGGGAGGGGATTAACGGAGTTGGCACTCTATGCTGAGTGTTCTACTCGGGGTCGGTGGTTCTTGGAGGTGGATTTAGGGTTTACTTGCCGAGACTTTGGGAAGGGAGATGAGTGTGGAGAAGAGGCAATGGTCTACTGGGCAAGTTTGGGTTTTGGTGAGATATGTGATTTTTCGATATGCAGACTCGAAATCATATCTCTGAAAGATATCACGAAAAATACTTTGGGTTTGTGATGTTAATTGATTTTTGGTTGGGCTTAATCTTTGAAATCTTTATTTTCTATGTTAAAGGGTGACATGATTTGGCTTTCAGGTTTCATGACTTTTTATTGGCTAGTTTGGGAGGAATGAATTTTGAGATTGGTTGTAAATTGGGAGGGAGGGAAGCTAAGCGTTAATGGAGCTAGTATTTGGTGTTGGGTGTTTTACACGGTGTTTTGCTTTTTGGAAGTGTTATAGGTCTATAGGGTGGATATATTTGGTGCGACATTTGGGAAAGAAGATGAGCGTTGAGAAGAGGTAATGGTTCAGTAAGCAAATTTGAGTTGGTGGGATGTGTGGATCTTTGAAATGTGGATTCAGGATCATGTGTAATAATTGATTGTTTTCATATATTGAAAACTATGCATTGAGACGATTCTTTTAAGTACCCGCATAAATATGTTTAATCTCATATATAACGCACAAACAGTGACCAAAGTGATGCACGTGAATAGTGTCAAAGTCAACCGTAACACTTAAATAAAAATAATAAAATTATGATGCAAGCTGGCCTTTATGAATGACTCTCATGATAAATGTGATAACGGAGCATATATAAGTGTAATTCAAACATGAATAATCCTACCTAAAATGTCCAATATCTTTTAATAACAATGCATTCCTTTTTTGGAAGTTACAAATTAATTGCGAGTAATTATTTGATAGATATTCTATATTTGCTCTCATCATATGAGTCATTCTTTTTTATATCTCCCTATAGCTCTTATCTAGAGGTGATCAAAAAATCGGATTGGACCTTAATATCATATCTCATGCCCAAATCCGTAAAAAAGTAGCAGGCTTATCTGGTCAAAGCAAGCTTTTCGGGTTTTTTCAGGTCAGATGCGGACTTTTAAATAAAAATGCGTTTTTAAACTTGCCTAAAACCGCCCTATTTTCGAATCGAAACGGATTGGGCTAGCAGGCCGAGCCGATACCTCTACGTCTCATCTCTTAAAATGTCGCATATTCCATCTACGTTGCGAAAGATAATGAGAATGAGAATGCTTTTAAGAGTCTTACCCGACTTTATGCAATGGACATAACATAGGTGAAAAATGGGACTAAAATGAGACCAACCAGATAGACTCATAAATGGGCCTTATACATAATTAAATGAAGATGAGCATATGAGATGTAAATGTAACATGGACATATTGTATATGGGCCTGAGAAATATATTTATTGAAAATGGACTCATGAAATAAGCCCCAGGTGGTGTAAAATCAAGAGAACTAACAATAAGCATGCAGCATGCTGCATATAATGGATTAAAGAGTGGAAATGAGTGTAACTAACTAACTACGTGATTATTGGGCGGGGATGGGTCTCGATTTGGTAGGTCGTGGAGCAAGGATGGAGATGAAATTTATACCCGTCATAGGTAATGGGGCGGGGTTGGATTTTCTGTTATACCCGCTCTATCCCCGCCCCACCCGCCCCACTTTATACCCGCTCCGCCCCAACCGCCTCAATTCGTACCCGTCCCATCCCTACCCCATACCCACATCTATATAATTTAAAAACTAAATTATGTACTTTTGTACTATTTTATAAAAAAAATTATGTAAAAATAAAATAATAAATATAATACTTTGTAATACACTTATATTATAAACAAAAAAGTGTGTAATATTGAAATTGATTTTTTTTTTTTAAAAAATTGTATTCTATATTTAATTATGTAGGATTGTGTATATGTGAAGCGGGGATTAGGCGGGTCTTGGGTGGGGATTAGGTGGAGGTGGATATCCAAGTGGGGGATAAGATGAGGATGGAGATAAATTTTGGACCCGCCGCGGGGATAGGGATGGGGATGAAAATTTTAGGTGGGGATGGGGATGGGAAAGTCAACATCCGCCCCGACCCGCCCCATTGACATCTCTAGTGATTACTGTTTAAGGAAAAATACCCATAACATGTGGATTAATGCCACTACGACACGTGTCCCTAAGCGCTCAACGAGCCAATTAGAGCATGACACATGTCACTCAATGATAGAAGGCTAAAAACGGGTTTCAAGCCCATAACCCTAGAAACCGTAAAATGGTGAGAAGCCTATCTATTTAGGTTAAATAACCTAAAAGGCACATGTCCCAATGCACTATAAATACTGATCATTTATAATTAATCAGTTGGGATACAATCAATATTCAAGTGCAATGACTCCCAAAAATACTCTCTCCTCTCTCTACTTTCTCTCTCTAAAATACCTTTTTCCGGCCACTAATTTGATCGTCGGAGGCGAACCTCCGACACACCGAAGGTTCGTTGTTTTGCAGGTGACCAGGCCGTTCGAGTGTTGCATTGCGGATTTGTCTCCCGCGAGAAGCACACACCCCTTTCTCGGGTACGTACAAAAAAACCCCAAAACAATTACAACTTTAAAACATGAAAGTAAGTATATAGAATGGGCTTAAATAGCAAGCTAGAGACGCACAAAAATGAAATTAAACAATAAATCTATAGTTTTTAAGTCAAAGATAAGCTCATATACTTTAGTTCTTTTTTATATATAGTTTTTAATAAAAATATAGTATAAAAACTGCAAACCGCATTATAGTGAGATTTGGTCTAAATATTTTTTGAAATCGCACCGCAGTTTGGTCATTTTCAATAACCGCACCGTAATTTTCAAACCGCAAACCGCACTAAACCGCAAAAGTGCGGTTTAGTGCGGTCTAAACCACACTTTGTACAACTCTATTCGTAATAATATTAAGTTTTACACAATTTTTGATAATTTTTAAGCATAACCCGAAATCGACCCGAAATCTGACCCGAACTCGACCTGCTGACCCGAATTTCCACCCCTAAAATAAATGCAAACTTAGGTGCATCTCGGGCAAGTTTAATAGTTGGTGCATTTTGGGAGAATGGGGCAAAGATTGGTGCATTCTTGTTAAATATTTCTTGTTTTTTAGATATTTTCATAGCATACACAGATAAAGAAAAACCATTAAGTTAAAAAAAATATATTAAAATTTGATTATCATCTTTGAAACCTTGACTTATTATTTTAGTGGTATATAAAGTAGAGATGGTATCGTGTGCGGACTGCCGCACGCAAATTGGTTGAGATATTAAAATTTGGTGCGGCAGAGTTGGTTGAGATATTTTATTTGTTGGCTAATATATTTCATTTGTTGGCTGATATGTTTCATTAATTGGTTGATATGTTTCATTTGTTGGCTGATATGATTTTTGTGTTGGCTATTATATTCCTTTTGTTGGCCGATGTGTTCATTTTGTTGGCAGCTATCAGACATCAGTTAGTTGATATGTTTCTTTAATTGGCTGATATCTTTATTTTGTTGGCTGATATGTATAATTTAATTGTTGGCTTATATGTTTCATTTTATTGGCTTATATATTTATTTTGTTGGCTTATCTGTTGTTTTTGTTTGCTGATTTCTTCCTTTTGTTACCTGATATGCTTCATTATTGGCTGATATGCTTCATTTGTTGGCTGATATATTCCTTCTGTTGGCTGATAAGTACCTTTTGTTGGCTGATATATTCCTCTTGTTGGCTGATATGTATCTTTTGTTGGCTGATATATTCCTTTTGTTGACTGATACTTTTTTATTAATGTCTGATGTGTCCCTAATGTTGACTGAAATCGGACATCAATTGACTGACATGTTCATTTTAATGGTTGATATGCGTCTTTTGTTGGCTAATATGATTAACAACATACATATATACTTTCATTTCCATCTCTCTCTCCTCTTTCCCCATCTTCCTCTCTTTCTTTCTCTTGTTTCAAATGAACCGGACTCCTTTCTTCTCCAACTTCTCAAATCAGCCACAAATCCCACGCCACCCCACCCCACCCACCAACCACCGAACCACCGAACCTACCCACCGAACCTTCCTCTCTTTCTTTCTCAAATCAGCCCCAAATCCCACGCGACCCCATCAAACCCATCAACCACCAACCACCAAACCATCAAACACCCCGCAAATCACCAACCACCAAGTCGCCGCCGTTCAAGGCTACGCAAATCGAAAACCTTGTCTTTTGTTATTGGGGATTTATTTGTTTTAATTTGTGATTTGTTTTGATTTTGGGAATTCCGTTTTTTGTTAGTATTATTTGGGGATTTTGGGGATGTAGATCTGAATTGTGGTTCCATGTGTTTGATTTTGCAGGTGGTGGAAGTTGTTGCTACCGCTACCGTTGCCGCTGCCTTCTTCGCCGTACGAACTATTGGGTGCGGACCTAGTAGTTTGTGTATAAATTAAAGTATGTTAATTGAACTTCTAAACATATCAGTTACGGAGTAATTAACATACATCAATCATAATTAACAAATGACAATAAATGTTTAATACTTTCTCTTTTTTTTTTTTTTAATGCACCACTTTAGTTTTAGAGAAATATAGAGAATTTATCAGTTAAAAAGAAAAGTGATTCAACTAATTTATTCTTCCATTTTTAGAAAAGTGATATTGCTTCGCATTTTTTTTTTAATTTTTTTTTATTTTTTTTTACTTATATGACTGGTTCCTATTTTCATTTTGATTTGGTCTATTAGCTGTATACTAAGTATTATAAATGATTGTACTCGCAAAGTTGCATGGTGAATAGTACTCCAAATTATGGTTGTGAACTTGTAATCGATAATTAGGATAAATGACATATTTATATAATGTAATCAATTAAAATTGTCCCGATTTTGAAATTAAACCGTTAAGAAAATTTTTCTGATTCCACCACAATATTTGAGTAATGTACGTTTTGTATATGACTCTTTCTCTTTTACCTTGTCTTACTTGGCTCATTATCTTATGTTGATTTCATATGCATGTCTCTAGGTATCTTATTCACGGGCTACCCAGTTATTGGACATCAAAATAAGATGCAGGCTTCCGCAAGTTGTCTAAATAAAAATAATATTGTTGATGGTTATTGTGGATGGGATCCAAGAATAAATGGTCATTCTTTTACTAGCAATGGCTTTACTTTGCCTTTAAACAAGGTAACAAGCTTCATTCAATACCTAAAAAAATTGGTTGATATGGACCCTTCATCCTTTTGTGGCATTGAATTTCACTTGGGTATCCTAATGAGGTATGTCAAGGTTTCCTCGGCTTATCTTGGAAAAGACGAGGATGGAGTAGACTTTGATATTGCCTATTATATATCGACCTAAAGAAGAGTTGGGGCCTCGGCTCAATGAGGACATAATGGAAGAAATCGAGCAATTAGCAATTTTTAAGTATGGTGGCGTGCCACACTGGGGTAAAAAAACGCAATGTAGCGTTTGAAGGTGTGATTATATTAGTAAGTATAAGGATGGAGAAAAGTTTTTAAGGGTTAAGGAAAGGTATGATCCTTTGGGATTGTTTTCAAGTGAATGGACTGATCAAGTTTTAGGATTAAAAGAGGGAATAATCATAAATAAAACAGGTTGTGCACTTGAAGGATTGTGTAGATGTAACACATACAATGATTGTGGGACGGGGTACACTTGTGAAAGTGGTAAAGTTTATGACGAGGCTAAAGTTTGCAAGAAGAAGAGAAGCAACCTTATTTTTGATTATTGCTTGATTGGATGATTATCAATAAGGCAAAATTTAATGGATGTGAAGTTTGTAATTATAATATCAATGTGACTAATACTAGATGGATGTTGTATTTTTTTATTTATTTAAATTTAAAAATATGTTTGTAATGATTTGTAAGACTAAGTACAAGTCAATGTATATGTAAATTGGTGTTAATCCACGACCGATGATGTATATGTATGTTATTATCCATGCTTGCTCCTGTATATATAGATGATTGTTTTTCCTGGATGGATGATGTATATATTGTTTATATTCCATGCTTGAAGTTTACAAATATGTTTGTAATGATTTGCAATAGTACTAATTGTCTCATTATAAATTATTTCATGATTTGTTAAAAATTGATAATGTATAAACTCATATGGGTATCCCTATTTGCTTGTTTATTTAATGTATGTATTTCCTCTGTATTTAATAGTTCTTTCAAAACGAGTAAACGGTGATTATTGCTCACAAAAATGTTAATATAAGACTTTTTAGCAACAAGAGAGTATTCCTCTTAAAATTATATTAAGGCCCTGTTTGGTAATTAGTTGGGAGCTGATTGATATAACTGGTTGTATTAGCTGGTTTGACTAGTTAGTTATAATTAGCTGATTGTGTAAAAGTGTTTGGTAAATAGTTGTTAATTGTTAGCTGTTTTAGTGTATTTAAGAATCAAAAAGCTAATTGTCTAATAGCTTGTAAGCTATGTACCAAACACCCAAATTAGCGTTTTTAATGGGTCAAATTTCTAATTGGGCAAAATAAGCTAAAAGCTCTTTTAAAAGCTATTTACCAAACAAGACCTAAATTTTAAATAATTATGGAGTAAGAAGTCTTTATTGGTTAATTGGTATTATCAATATTAAAGATTAGTAAAAAGTCTCTATGGATACCTATTTTTAAGGGTGTGTCATCTAGTTGGCTAGCTACTTGCAAGTTTAGATGATTTAGTTAACTCTTATAATTCATATCTTTACTCTTTTTAATTAAATTGGTTACAATGTTACACGTTTTTTTTTATTAGTATTATGTACTTGTATTACATGTATCACTGTCAAAACGATTTGACAGTTCGGTTTCGGTTCGGTTTGTAATTGGGTCGGTTTGAAATCGGTTTAAATGTCTTACGGGTCGGTTTCAGTTCGGTTTAAATAAATTTCGGTTCGATTCGGTTTCGGTTTATTCTTGAACGGTTTAAATTCGGTTCGGGTTGTAAACGGTCCGGGTAGTAAACGGTTCGGTGCAAACGGGTTGCGGTTCGTTAACGGTTCGGTGCAGACGGGTTGCGGTTTGTTAACGGTTCGGTGTAAACGGTTTTTATCCCGGTTTAAATTCGGTCGGGTTGTAAACGGTCCGGGTTGTAAACAGTCCGAGTAGTTAACGGTTCGGTGCAGACGAGTTGCGGTTTGTTAACGGTTCGGTGTAAACGGTTTTTATCCTGGTTCAAACAGTTTCGCGTTAGAAACGGTTCGGTTCTTTTTTGGTTCGGTTTAATTTTAGTTTGGTTTATAACTAGTTCGATTTGTTAAAGGGTTTGATTCTTCAACGATTTAACATTATTTGGATCGGTTTTATTTCAGGTTTACTAAATTACGATTCGGGTCTGTTTCTGATTTCAAAAAATCGAGTCATTTGGATTCAAAAAATCAGATATTATTTGATTAAACAAGTTGCTCAAAAAATTGTATACAAAAAATCGAGTCATTTCAAGACTAAACAGTATTATATACTTGTACATGCATATAAATCCCAAAGTCCAAACCTTCAATTCGTTAACTTGCTCAAGTTGAATATTATCTTTACATTCCATATTGAAATTTGATCAGATAAAAAAAACTACACACGTTGACCTTTTTCCTTGTGATATGTATGGAAGATGGTTTTTTAGTCTTATAGTACCAATTTGGGTTACTCTCTTAAGCTATTTGATACTTTGCAAAGATGGTGTTAATTGTGATCCTCCCGAAGGACCCATCAAATGCTCTTTCGGAGACTCCGACTGCATTATCACCAATTCTTATGGCTCGTTCCCTGACCGGAGTACTTGCCATGCTGCCAATGCCGTGTACCCGAAAGATGCAACCACGATGAAGAGAAAATTCAAGGTATTGATTGCTAACTTTAGCTAATGTATGTCCATGCTACATTATATTATACATATTAAGTCGATCTACATTATAATCTTGAAAGAAGATTATCCTAAATACTTATGCACGTATGTACCTTTCCTTTAAAAAAGAAATCTGAAGTCGATCTACAACGGTTACTCAAATCCCTTTTATTCAGATCACTTTTGTTCGTTGAAATTAGAAACCGTAAACCTTGAAAGCATATCATAATCAGACAAGACTTATTGGCTCAGTTTTTTTTTTTTTTTTTTTTTTTTTTTTTTTTTTTTTTTTTTTTTTTTTCTTTGGAAACATGGTATATTTCAATTATATATTTTTTATTTTCATTTGTTTGCATTATTGTCATTAGATATCTTTGTATTATGAATAATTATGAACATTTCATGTATGAAAAATACATATTAATACAAATTTAGTAAAATATGTTTGATATATTTTATTTCTTTAAAGCTTAATTAGTGTACAAATGAGATCAAAATTTAGTCAAACTGTGAAACTAGATTGGATTAGATCAGATCAAATTACAGTGGATAAGATGAATTACTCCACTTTGATCGGGACATTTTCCAACCCAAAACTTGACCAATTATATAGAGTATCTTTTTTTTTTTTTTTTTTGAAGAAATTATATAGAGTATCTTTATTAGTAGTAAGTATAAATTATAAAAAAAAAAAAGTTAATGTTCAGAAACTATACATTTAGACGATACTAACAAGTATCCGTATGACTATATACTCCTCCGTTTTTTTAGTGCTACACTTGGGTTTGCACATTTGTCGAGGTACAACTTTGACCATCAATATCTTAGATTAGATATTTGTAAAAATTATAATAAAACAATTTATAAAAGAAGATATTGTGACAAATCCAACAACTTATTGTATGATCATATTAATATATTACTAGTTTTGTGCCCGTGCGATGCCCGTGTTGTTTATTGAATTTTAAAATAAAACTTTTTATCTAAATATATATGTTATATGAATTTTTTACTTATGGATTAATAATCACTTGACAATCATACTTGTCCGTTTATGGGTGTTTTATATTAATAATCACTTGACAATCTAAAAAAATTAGAAGTAATAATGTACAACAAAAAAGAACGGTTATCTAAAGCTGCGATCTCTTTTCATTCTCTGAACATCTAAGAAAAGGCTAGTTGCATGTTAAGACTCAAGAGAACGGTTATATATAATAACATGTCTCTTTGATTTGTTATTTGTTATTTTTTCCTTTTGAACCTCTCTGGATCCGTCATTCGTATAAAAATATTGGTATTTTATTAAATAAAAAATTTAAACCAAAAGTTCTATTGAAAATAAAATTCCAAAATAACTTTTTTTATCCTACTAAATCTATCCAAATTTCATCAAAAATTAAACGCTAAAATAAATATTTTATCCTACTGAATCTATATATCCAATTTTTTTTTTTAAAATCATATTCTACAAAAAATATATTCAAATAAATCCTACGTGTCATATTAATAATTAATTATCGCCTACATGGCTTGACACTTGGCGGAAAGTTAGAAATGCCAAGTATCACTGTCTCGTGACCTGGCTAAAAGTTTAGCTTTATATTAGTTATATGATATATTAGTAAAAAAAAATTAAATCAAAGGCAATATATGAATGGTGTAAAATCTCAAGGTAATTTGAAATAAAAAAAATAAAAAATATAAAAACGGAGGAATTTTATGTGCAGAGTATATTCATTGATTGAGTGATGTAATAAATAGTGCAAAAGTCAATCTAAGACACTAAAAAACAAGCGGAGCGTATGAATGAGATAGGATAGGAGTGAAGACCAATTCAGAGGGGAATGATAATAAAATAATGTAGAATTTATTTATTTTAGAAAGTATTATACTAGAGCAAGATTTCTTAAGACTTTTATCTTATGCCACATAAGATTTTGAATTAATTTAATATATTTTTTAAATTTTATAATTATGTTAAGAGTGTCTATGATTCATCAAGATTTAGCTCTTCATTTCACATATTTGATTTAAATTTTTTTAAAATATGTACCATTTTTTTCCCTATTTTTACATATTACATTATAAATTATAATAAGAAAGTTCCGATTGGTGCCACAAGTTGTATATCTAATTTCAGCAGGTTTTGTGTGTGGCTCGTGTGGCCAGCTAACACACAAGTAACCCTTGACTGACCTAGTAATCTCTGACCGAGTAACCCCTTCGACCAAGTAACCCCTCCGACCTAGTAACCCTTGACCAAGTAACCCTTGACTAACCAAGTAACCCCTGACCAAGTAACCCTTGACTAACCAAGTACCACTGACCGACCTAGTAACCCCTAATCTTACACCACCTCAAAGCCTTAAACTCCACCACACCACCAACTACTGCACCTCCACGCCACCGGCCCCAACCCGATACGCCATGCCACTACCACGATTCACCAAACCCACAACCAAACCCAGATCCAACGACCAAAACAGCAACAGTAACCAGATCCCAACCCAACCCTTTTCCCACCACAACAACAACCAAAACCCTACCCACAACCAGATCCCCACCCAAACCCAACCAGACCCACCTAAACCACACCCAACCAGACCCATCACGACAACACAACAACAAAAAAAAAACACATAACAAACGAAAAAAAAATTAAAACCTTTAAAAAAAATTTAATCGAACAAATACCTTAAAAATCAGCAACGACTTCGAATTTCACTTGAAATATGGCTAAAAAGGCTACATTCGACCATGGAAACTCTAGATCTAGAGTTTTATAACTGAACTTGGCCTTAAAAACCTTTAACCTATTTTTAAAAAAAACCACGACAACACAATTTTTCCGGCAACGAGTACGAGGAGAGAGAAGTACGAGGTGCTCCGGCCATTGACAATTAGAGAGAGAAAGTTGAGAGGAGAGGAGAGGACAAAGAGAGAGAATAAAAAAAAATTGTGGCTCGCCACACGGTGTGGCCAACCACATATCAAAATTTGTAATCTAATTTAGATGTCATAGCTTAAATTAATATCAAACTATTAGATACGTAAAATTAAATAACAATGAATTTTAATAATTAAAAAATAGATGAAATTCAAATAAATAAATAAATAAATAAAATAAAAA